TCCGTTTGCCCATCTGTCTGGGGATGGAACACTGACAAAAACTTAAGCTTTGTTCCTAGTGTCTCGGTTACTTCACGCCAGAATCGGCTCGTGAAGTGCGGGTCGCAATCAGACACTAATACACGTGGCAATCTGTGTAGGCAGAACACATGTGTCACGAACAACCGAGCCGTATCCTCTGCTGATACATCCGTTGTCGTGGGTACAAAGTGCACCAACTTTTAAGGCGATCTACAAACACAAGTATCGCCGTATACCCATCGCGGGTTTTTGGGAGGTCGGTGATGAAATCCAGTGAAACACTTTCCCAAGGTTCACTCGGAATTTCAAGTGGTTGAAGCAAACCACCAGGCTTCTGTGTGTCCGGTTTGTTACGTGCGCACGTGTCACAACGTGCCACAAACTGTTGGACATCACTACCGACTCCTGGCCACCAATACACATCACGTAGGGCCCACCGGGTCTTATTCATGCCCAAGTGTCCCCCATATTTAGTGGCATGCACCTCTTCCAAAATATCGTTCCGCATATTGCCTACATGAGGTACCGCAATCTCGTTTGTTCGCCACCAAAGATCGTGTTCCCATGTCAAATGTTTGGTGTTCTGTGGGTTCTAGAACCAGGAATCGATATGATATCCTATATGAATTCGTTTCAGAAAACCACTGAATGCGATCTCGTTCACTTTCGCCGCAGCTAGTATGCTAAAACAGGCAGCAAAAACAGCCGCATGTTTGGTATCGTCAAGCCCGGTTGCCGCCCCTATCGGCTGTCTACTGAAGGGGTCAGCCAAGTTCGTGGAACCTGCACGATATCGAATGTCGAAGCTGAACCCGCTGAGGAGTTCAGCCCAACGGGCCTACCGGCGAGTGAGGGTAGCTTGGGTAAAGAAATGTGTTTTCGGACAATGGTCAGTAGTGACCACGAACTCTACCTGTTAGAATCTAGAGTGACTTAGGCTTAGGAGCCATGGCTTGAGTAGCTAGACATGAGTGTCGAGAGAAAAGTCGAGAAGGAGGAGAAAATGATTTCACTATAGAAAGTTGAGTACAAATAGGGTAGGAAAGGTGGGTACACCAACAAGCAGGAAGTTAGGATAACTACACTAAGGCTAGAACTACATGCAGTTATAATATAATTCTGACATCCCCCCTTAACTGCATGCAGGAAGAGCCAAGTGCTAGACACAACCTGCAGGGGTACACCAAGCAGAACAAAGCAGCAGCACGCAAGTGCAGTGACAACCAGTGCAATAGTGGCAGATGCAGTTGCAGCAACCCCGCAGCCAAGGTAGAAGCAGCAGGAACAGGAGCGTGCGGCGGCAAGGGCGGCGGCACAGCAGCAGTAGGTGCATGTGGCGGCAGGCCGCCTGGAGAGCAGGAGCGTGCGGCACAAGCGGTGGCGGCACAGCTCGGCTCAATGGCAGCACCTGCCGCACAACAGCAAAAGCAAGGTAAGACAAGCAAAGTGGCGACCGGGGCTGCAACTGGAGGTACCACGGGAGCAGAGGGCGGCAGTTGCAGATGAGGGGGGGGGGCTGCTTCGTCCGCCACAATCTGTCGTCCCCCTTAATCGCTCTCATCCCCCCTCACCTCTCTTCCCCCCCCCCCCTTTCACACAGCAACATGTGCAGCAGTGGGAGAGAGAGGAGGAGAGGTGGCAACAGGTCACCCACACCCGCCACCCCCATACCCTCCCCCCACTGCTGCACCTGCAGCAGGGGATGGAGGATAAGGGGGGGGGGGCAGGGGGGGTGCTGGTGCTGCAGATCCCCTCCCCCCCACTGCTGCACCCGCAGCAAGGGGAGGTAGGAGAAGGGGGGGAGGGGGGGCGGGGGGGGGGCTGGTGCTGCAGATCCCCTCCCCCCCACTGCTGCACCCGCAGCAAGGGGAGGTAGGAGAAGGGAAGGGGGGGGGGGGCGGGGGGGGGGGGGGCTGGTGCTGCAGATCCCCTCCCCCCCACTGCCGCTCCACAATCCTTCAACCCCCAGGGATGGAGGAGAAAGGGGGGGCGGGGGGGGCTGGTGTCGAACATTAATCACATAGCCTGTTTAGGCTGTAGTGGGGTAGACACTATGGGGTACAGTCTCTTAGGGTTTCATATTTGTACCCAACACATTTTCTATTCCATCATTCATTCCTCAATTCTCACATGGTATAGAGCGGGTTCCCTACTGGGACCGTTCCTTCCTAAGGGCCAACCGTTAAAAGCTTTTTTTTTACCTACCTGCCCGAAGCGCGTTTTTCGCTCTGCCCCCTAGTGGCCTTTTCTGCCCTACGCGGCCCCCTTTGCGGCCCGTTAGTGGCCCCCTTTGCGGCCCCATCGCGGCGCGACCCCGGCCCTGCCCCGTCGCTCATTGCGACCGTGTCGCGGCCCGGCCCCGACCCTGCCCCGGCCCCGTCGCGGCCCCGTCCCGGACCTGCCCCGGCCCCGACCCTGTCCCAGCCCTGCCCCGGCCCCGTCGCGGCCCCGTCCCGGACCTGTCCCGGCCCTGCCCCGGCCCCGTCGCGGCCCCGTCCCGGACCTGCCCCGGCCCCGACCCTGTCCCGGCCCTGCCTCGGCCCCGTCGCGGCCCCGTCCCGGACCTGCCCCGGCCCCGACCCTGCCCCGGCCCCGACCTTGTCCCGGCCCCGGCCCCGACCCTGCCCTGGCCCCGTTGCGGCCCCGTCCCGGACCTGCCCTGGCCCCGACCCTGTCCTGGCCCTGTCCCGGACCTGCCCCGGCCCTTCCCCGACCCTGCCCCGACCCTGTCGCGGCTCTGTCCCGGATCCGCCGCGGCCTCGCCCCGGCCCTGTCCCGGACCTGTAGCAACCCTGCCCCGACCCTCCCTCGGCCCTGCCCCGGCGTCGCCCCTGGTAAGAGCATAGCCGGGCCTAGCCGCGCTGCCGAGTCGCGCCGCTCTACCGAGCCGCCCTGCCGAGCCGCGCTGCCCTGCCTAGCAGCGTCGCTTAGCCTAGTTGCACTACTACTGCTGCTAGTCTGCTGCTGCTCCTGTCATGGCCAGTCCCAGTGTTCTTACCTTTGATGCTGAGGGTCGAGCGGTTGACTTCGATGTCTGACTAGATGATCTGCAGCTTTTCCTACAGTGCGATAGCAAGGATGGTCTCTCACTGTTCGATCTCACGTCTGGCGCCTCTGCTGCCCCTGTTGCTGATGTTGACAGTGCTGTTCGCTCGCAGTGGCTCACGCGCGATGCTGCTGCCCGCCTTGCTGTGCGTAGTCACCTACCGTCTACTGAGCGCGCGCACTTTAGTCAGTACAAGAGTGCTAAGACTCTGTACGACGCTGTAGTTGCACGCTACTCTTCCCCTGCCACTGCTGCACTTAGTCGCCTCATGCTACCGTACCTGTTCCCTGACCTCGCCGCTTTTGCCACAGTCACTGACCTCATTACGCATCTCCGCACTAGTGACACCCGCTACCGCGCTGTGCTTCCTGCTGAGTTCTGCGCCAAGAACCCCCCTCCCATGTACATCACCCTCTACTACCTAGTCACCCGACTCCGTGACACCCTTCGCTCGGTCAGGGACCACTTCCTCTCTCTTTGCCCTACCACACTCACCGTTGACCTCCTCGAGGAGCGTCTCCTTGCAGCAGAGACTAGTATTACCGCTGTAGGAGCCTCTCGTGGTGACCCCCGTACCCCTTTCTTTGAGGGGTGCTCCCCTGTTCCTCTTTTGCCCTCCGTTGCCTCTGCTGCTGCTGTCGACCTTGTTGGCACCGAGTCGGTCAGCGCTGCGTCTGCTCCTAGCGAGAGGCGCCGCAACGGCAAGGGCAAGCGGGGCAAGGGCGCTGGAGGAGGTGGCGGGGGAGGAGGTAGTGGCGGTGGAGGCGGAGGAGGGGGTGGGGGTGGGGCCAGAGGCAGAGGTGGGGGCGTCGGTGGCAGCAGTGGCAGTGGAGGCAGCGGTGGCGGTGGCGGTTGGGGTGGAGGCGGCAGAGGCGGCGGCGGTGGAGCTGGTCGAGGCGGAGCTGTGCAGCGGGGGCCCCAGCACCAGTCGCGCTCTCGTGAGACCCCGTCGCCACAGCAGCTTCGTGAGTGGTACGCAGGGCGCCAGGGGTTTGGGGGTGCTGGTCCCTGTACCTACGTTCTACGCACCGGCGACCGCACTGGAGAGCAGTGTGGCGGCCTGCACGCCACCCAGCGCTGCTTCGGTCGCCTGACTGATGCCTGGCGTTCCAAGTTCCCTGACGCCACTGAGATCCCTCGCTAGGGTGATCTGCTCAAGTCGGGTGTAGCTATCTTTGATCTTGACTTTGATGCTATCCTTGCTGCCATGTATGCTATGTCTATTAGTGCTGAGGGTGACTGCTACGTGTGTGTTCCGCCTGACTCGGGCATTGAGTCTGCTGCTCTCGGTGCTAGTGAGTCTGCTGCTCCAGGTGATCGTGAGTCTGCTGCTCCAGGTACCCGTGCGTCTGCTGCTCTAGGTACCCGTGCGTCTGCTCTCTCAGGTACTGCGTCGGCTCAGGTTTTGCACACCTTCACCCTCGACTCGGGTGCTTCCCGTTCCTTCTTTCGAGACCGCACCACCCTTACGCCGCTCAGTCGGCCGGTTGCGGTCTCCTTGGCAGACCCCTCCGGGGGTCCTGTCCTTGCTCGCTACTCCACTGTCCTCCCGTGTCCGACGGCCCCGTCAGGCTCCCTGTCCGGTCTCTACCTCCCCTCGTTCTCTACGAACTTGGTGAGTGGTGCTGACCTTCAGGATGCCGGGGTTGACCAGTTCACTCCTGCGAGTCAGCAAGTGACCCACTGCACGTGTGCTCGGACGGGCCACCACTTGGCCACGTTTACCCGCCGACCGGGGTCCAGTCTGTACACACTGACCACAGACTCTCCACCGGTTGCTGCGTCTGGTCAGGTAGCTGCGTCGAGTCAGGTGTTTGCTGCAGCGTCTCGGTCAGGTCCTGAGTCTGCCCCCTGCTCGTGTCACCTCCTGTCCCACCAGACCCTCCTCTGGCACCACCGCCTTGGTCACCCCTCCTTGCCTCGCCTCCGAGGCATGGCCTCCCGTGTCCTTGTCTCTGGTCTCCCCCAGTCTCTCCCTCCCCTTCCCCTGGGGCCTGCCCCTACCTGCGTTCCCTGCGTCGAGGGGCGGCAGCGCGCCGCTCCTCACTCCTCCGAGTTTCCCCCGACGGAGGCTCCACTGCAGACTCTTCACATGGACGTGTGGGGTCCAGCCCGCGTCCGTGGACAGGGTCACGAGCGTTACTTCCTCCTGGTCGTTGACGACTACTCGCGTTACACCACAGTCTTCCCCTTGCGCCGCAAGGATGAGGTCACTGAGGTGTTGATCGACTGGATCCGCGTTGCTTGTCTCCAGCTCAGAGAGCGTTTCGGCTCGGACTTTCCTGTTCTGCGTCTGCACTCCGACAGAGGTGGAGAGTTTTCCTCCGACCTTCTGCGAGCCTTCTGTCGTGCAGAGGGCATTCGCCAGACGTTCACGCTTCCGGCCTCTCCACAGCAAAATGGGATTGCTGAGCACCGCATTGGCATGGTCATGGACGTCGCTCGTACGTCCATGATCCATGCGGCTGCTCCCCATTTTCTGTGGCCGTTCGCGGTTCAGTACGCTGCGCATCAGATCAACCTTCAGCATCGTGTCTCCTTCCCGGAGACCACACCTACTCTGCGGTGGACGGGGAAGGTTGGCGATGCGTCTGCGTTCCGTGTCTGGGGATCTCGAGCTTTCGTCCGTGATTTGTCTGCGGACAAGCTGTCCTCCCGTGCTGTTCCTTGCGTCTTCCTCGGCTTCCCCCCTGACGCGCCTAGTTGGCAGTTTTACCACCCCACCTCGCGTCGTGTTCTGTCCTCCCAGGACGCCACGTTTGACGAGTCGGTTCCGTACTACCGTCTCTTTCCCTACCGCGCTGCCCCCCTCCCCCCTCCGCCGCTCTTCCTCACGCCCGGTCCCCCCCCGGTAGACCCCCTCCCCCCTCAGGGTCCTGCCCCCTCAGGTGTGTCCCAGGTAGATGCAGTCGAGCCTGTCGAGGTAGCTGTTGACTCTGGTGCTTCTGGGGGTGCTGAGCCTGAGCGTGCGGAGCCTGGGGGTGCTGGGCCTGGGGGTGCTGAGCCTGAGTGTGCGGATCTTGGGGGTGCTGGGTCTGGGGGTGCTGAGCCTGAGCGTGCGGAGCCTGGGGGTGCTGGGTCTGGGGGTGCTGAGCCTGAGCGTGCTGAGCCTTTGGGTGCTGAGCCTGGGGTTGCTGAGAGTGGGGGTGCAGAGCCTGCCGGTGCTGGACCTGGAGGTCCTTCGGGTGCGTTGTCCCGGCGGGAGCTACCCTCTCCACAGGAGCTGCGCGAGTGGTTTGCTCGGCGCTGGAGCCGTGCTGCTGGCGCTGGTGGTACTGCAGGTGCTGGAGGTTCTACTGCTGCCCGGGGTGCTGGAGCCACGGGTCCCGGAGGTGCTCGTACTGGAGGTACTGGAGCTGCTGGGAGTGGTGGTGCTACTGGTGCTGGAGCTACTGGTGGAGCTGGAGCTGGCCGTGCTGTTGGAGTAGGTGCTACTGTAGGTACTGGAGCCGGAGCTGCTGAGTCTTCAGGTGGTCCTGCTGGAGCTGGAGCTACTGGAGGTACTGGAGCTGGAGGTGCTGCTGGAGCCGGTGCTCCTGTGGGTGCTGGAGTTGGTGCTACTGGAGCTGCTGGGGGTGCTCCTAGTGCTGGTGGTGCTGCTGGAGTTGGAGCTGACGCTGGGGGTGCTGGTGCTGTCCCTGCTGGTTCTGGAGGAGCTGCGCGGCCGCGGCCGTACTTCGTTCCGCTCCTTGAGCAGGTTCGTGGTCTTCCGCCTTCTCCTGGTCCTGCTCCTTCCTTAGAGTGTCCACCGCCTGTCCAGTCCGAGTCACAGTTACAGCTGACCTCCCCTCTTCCTGCTCCTTCTCCCTACGCTGGTCATACTGGAGGTCTTGCTGAGCGTCGTGAGCCTGAGTCGCGTCCAGCGTCGCCTGTTCATACTGCTCGCACTAGTCGTCGTGTTCCACGTCAGCGTCCTCCTGCGGTCCCGGGCACGCATCAGATGGCACTGCGTCCTTCCACTGCGTCACAGCGTGTCCCTTTGCCGTCTCCTCCAGCGTCCTCTCTTCCTGCTCTTACTGACCCGGAGTCTGACTCCCTTCATGCTGCCAGTCCTACTGTCACGCGTTTCCCAGCCACTGTTGTCACTAACCCTTCCTTTGAGTCCACTGCTGCGTCTGCCTTAGTTGCCGAGCTTGTCGACTTCGCTACTCACTGTCGTCTAGACTACGCCGCCAGTCTTGTTGCTGAGTCTGCATCTGTCTGTCCTCCGTCCGTCGGGGGTGAGTGTGCTCTTAGCACGGACGTCCTTGAGGACAGACAGGAGGAGTTCTAGTATTTTGCTGCTGCTTTACCTCATCTCGTGTCCACGCTGCTTGCCCCTGAGGGAGACCCGGATGCACCAGACATCCCGACCCCGCGCTCTTACGCAGAGGCGATAGAGGGTCCCTACTCCTCTCAGTGGCAGGCAGCCATGGATGCAGAGATGGCTTCCTGGAAGTCCACAGGCACCTACGTCAACGAGGTTCCCCCACCTGGGGCGAACATCGTCAGTGGCATGTGGATTTTCAGGGTGAAGCGGCCGCCGGGTTCTCCGCCTGTCTTCAAGGCGCGTTACGTGGCTCGAGGCTTCAGTCAGCGGCAGGGAGTTGACTACTTTCAGACCTTCTCCCCGACCCCGAAGATGACCACTCTTCGGGTTCTGCTGCACGTTGTTGCTCAGCGTGACTACGAGCTTCACTCCCTTGACTTCAGCACTGCTTTCCTACAGGGCAGCCTGCACGAGGAGATCTGGCTGCGCCGCCCACCTGGCTTCACTGGGTCGTTTCCTCCTGGTACCCAGTGGAGCCTCCGGCGGCCAGTCTACGGTCTCCGCCAGGCGCCCCGTGAGTGGCACGACACACTGAGGACTACGCTTGCGGCTCTTGGGTTTGCTCCTTCCACTGCTGACCCGTCGCTGTTTCTTCGCACCGACACTTTGCTGCCGCCGTTCTACATCCTCGTGTACGTCGACGACTTGGTCTTTGCTACGGCTGACACTGCTGGACTCGCCCACATGAAGTCCGAGCTGCAGAAGAGACACACGTGCACAGACCTGGGTGAACTGCGCAGCTATCTTGGCTTGCAGATCACTCGGGACAGAGCACGGCGCACCATTACCCTGACTCAGTCACACATGGTGCAGCAGGTCCTTCAGCGCTTCGACTTCACGTACTCCTCGCCTCAGGCCACTCCTCTGTCTAATCGCCACTCGCTCTCAGCTCTGCCTTCGGATGAGTCCGTAGAGCTGAGTGGCCCGTACCCAGAGCTTGTTGGCTGCCTCATGTACCTGATGACCTGCACTCGACCTGACCTGGCATACCCTCTTAGCATCTTGGCACGCTATGTTGCTCCTGGGAGACACCGACCAGAGCACATGGCTGCAGCGAAGAGGGTGTTGCGCTACTTGTGCAGTACGTCGGGCATGGGGCTAGTGCTTGGAGGGCGGAGTCCAGTGGTCCTTACTGGTCACGCAGACGCGTCTTGGGTTGACGACCTGGCTACGCAGCGGTCGTCACAGGGTTACACCTTCAGCCTTGGTTCCGGCTCTGTTTCGTGGCGGTCTACTCGCTCGTCTTCTGTTCTCAGCTCCAGATGTGAGGCTGAGATCTACGCAGGGGCCATGGCTGCACAGGAGTTACGCTAGCTCACCTACCTGCTGACTGACCTCGGTGAGCCGCCTCGTTCTCCTCCGGTTCTGTACGTAGACAACAAGGCCATGCTGGCCTTGTGTCGGGAGCACAGACTGGAGCACAGAACGAAGCACATTGCTCTTCGCTACTTCCTTGCTCGTGAGCTGCAGCAGCGTGGTCAGCTGCGTCTTGCTTACGTGGCCTCCCAGGCCAACACTGCTGATATCTTCACCAAGGCACTTCAGCCTTGTGATCATCAGCGCTTCTGTAATTGTGAGAATGATTGACGAGAGAAATTGAAGTGAGAAAGGAATGATTGCACTAGAAAGCATTGGGATACAAATAGCAAACCCTAACAGGGTTGTACTCACTATAGAGTACCCCACTGCAGACTAGAGAAACATAATATTCTGACACACCCCCATAGTCAAAGTGGGGTATGATCAGCACAACAAGCAAAGCAAAGCAAGCTCAGGGTGGATCACAATGTCACCACACATTCTGAGCACAAGTACAAGAAGTAACAGTTTAAAAGTTCACAATAAATAAGCAAAGCTAGAGGCTATCACTGAGGGCAAGTGAGGAGGAGGCTGGACTAATAGGAGAGGAGAGAGGAGGCAACGGCGGAAGCTGCAGACACACGGGCAACAGGAGCGGCGCGCACTGTGGCTACCGGAGGCGCACCTCCGGACTACAGGAGGCGCACCTCCGGACTACAGGAGTAACTGGCTCCGCGGCTAAGACGAGCGGCAGGAGCAACGGACCCACGGGCGACTGGCGCAGCGGCATGACTGGGCTACCGGAAGCGCACCTCCGGACTACTGGCACTGCTAGCAACTCGACAGCTACCCCCACCCAACCTCCCTCTACTGCCGCACCCCCCATTCACACACCCCCTGCTGCACCCCTAGGTTCACTCACACCCCACCCCCTAGCACCACTCCGTCGACTCACACACACCCACCCCCCTCAGCGGCAGCTGCAGCAGTGGGAGACGGAGGAGGAGGAGGAGCAGGGGATGTCACACACCCGCCACCCCCATACCCTCCCCCACTGCTGCACCTGCAGCAGGGGATGGAGGAGAAGTGGGGGGGGGGGGGGGGGGGGGGGGGGGGGGGGTTTCTGTGCATAGTGCGTGCAGAGGGCAGCAGGGCGCATGGGGCGTACAGGGCAGCAGGGCAGCAGGGCGCGCGGGGCGCACAGGGCTGCAGGGCACGTGGGGCGCACAGGGCAGCAGGGCGCGCGGGGCGCAGCAGGGCTGGCGGGTTGGCCACACCCGCCACCCCCATACCTTCCCCCACTGCTGCACCCGCAGCAGAGAGATGGGGGGGGGGGGGGGGGGGGGCGGGGGGGGCAGGCAGGTGCTGCAGGTCCCCTCCCCCCACTGCCGCATCCGCTCCAGGGGGATGGCAGATCCCCTCCCCCCCACTGCTGCACCCGCAGCAGGGGGAGGGAGAGGAGAAAAGGGCGGAGAGGAGGGGGGGGTGGGGGGGGCTGGTGCTGCAGGTCCGCTCCCCCCACTGCCGCAACCGCAGCAGGGGGATGGCAAATCCCCTCCCCCCCACTGCTGTACCCGCAGCAGGGCGCGCGGGGCGCACAGGGCTGCAGGGCGCGCGGGGCGCACAGGGCAGCACAGGGAGGCGGCGGCACCGGGTCCAGGGGCGGCGGCGCGGGGTCCAGGAGCGGCTGCTCCAGGGGCCAGGGGCCAGGGGCGGCTGCTGAGGTCCAGGAGCGGCTGCACCAGAGGCGGCTGCTCCAGGGGCGGCTGCACCAGGGGCGGCTGCTCCAGGGGCGGCTGCACCAGGGGCGGCTGCTCCAGGGGCCAGGGGCGGCTGCTCCAGGGGCCAGGGGCTGCTGCTCCGGGTCCAGGGGCGGCTGCTCCAGGGGTGGCTGCACCAGGGGCGGCTGCTCCAGGGGCGGCTGCTCCAGGGGCCAGGGGCGGCTGCTCCGGGTCCAGGGGCGGCTGCTCCAGGGGCGGCTGCACCAGGGGCGGCTGCTCCGACGCGCGGCCCCCCCCCAGGTCGCCCCTCCCGTCGCCTGGTGAAGCGACCTGAGGGGGGGGGGGGAGGGGGGGGGGGGGGGGGCAGCGTGCGGCCCCCCAGGTCGCCCCTCCCGTCGCCTTAAGTGGCGACCCGGGGGGGGGGGGGGGGCCGCGCGCGGCCGCCCCCAGGTCACCACGTAAGGCGACGGGAAAGGGGGGGGGGGGGCGGTGCGCGGGCCCCCGGTGCGCCGGTGCAGGCACGAGGGGGGCGGGGCCTGGGCAGGGTCGGGGCATGGCAGGGGCAGGGCCGCGATAGGGCCGCGACAGGGTCGGGGCAGGGCCGATACGGGGGGGGGGGCCTGCGACAGGGGGCCGCGATGGTGGGCCGCGACGAGGGGCCGCGACAGGGTCGGGGCAGGTCCGGGGTCGGGGCAGGTCCGGGACGGGGCCGCGACAGGGTTGGGTCAGGTCCGGGACACGCCGCGAAGGGGCCGCGACGGGCCTAACGG